GATATTATTTTCAATCATTTGATATCGGTCCAATCCGGAATTGTACTGCACACAACATTGTTAAATTTGATAATCGATTTATAAAATATTAATTGCACACAAAATTATAAATAAATGCAAAATAATTTCTTTATTATAATTTACATCTAAGAATCTCAATAAATAAGGTATTGGACGGGCATAGTATAAATGTGTAATCAATTGAATTTGAGTCAATATAATATCAAACTCAAGTTTTATTTTAAATTTAAGAATCGAAAACTCGATTTAAGTTGATTGAGTTCTATTTTATTAGTTTAAGCTCAATTCAAGATGAAAATCGAGTAACTCGAGTTTGCTCAATTAATTTTATTTAATATTTAAAAATTAACTCGATTATTTATATTTGAGTTCAAGTTCGAAATATTTTACAATTATTTTTTATCAAATCTAATAAATATTATATTTTTAAGATAATAATAATAATAATAACTTACACAACAACCAAAAAAATTATTGAAACATAAAAAATTAAGTCTTTCATCAAAGTATTCAAATAAAACACAAATAGTTTTATGGTGCTTCTTTGGCTTGCTCCTATAAAGTCCAATTGTTTTGTTTATCTTCATCTGAGCATTGACTTAAACATTCCATCTCTTTCTCAATCTCTAAAATTTCAAACTAGTGAAGTTTTTTTTTTTTTGAATCAACAAAATACAAGACAACAACTTTAGCATTACTATCTTTTTTTGTTTTAATCTAATAAATACTAACCTACCTCTCTAATCTTATAGCAATCATTTGTGTTGTAACGTCTAGATCCGGTGGTCTATTGCTAGACATTGACTTGCAGGAGTCATCACTAATCTTTTTTATCTAGGTGTGATTGGTCACCTAAAAAATCTGTCCTTTCAGGGAACACCTAAGTTTAAGGGTCCATAAAAAAATAGGTTCAAATTTACTAACCAAAACAGGGTTCGGGAGTTCGGTTACGTGTGGGAAAGGTTATAGCACCCTCACAACGCCCATCAAAAGATGATACGAGCTTAATTTTACAAAGTAATTAACTATTGAAAATTATTCTCAATTAACTCTAATATTTTTAGCAGAAAATTAAAAAAACCCTCTCACCTCAAAAGTATGCAAGAAAACTACTGTTTCTCTTACAGAGGCTCCATCGTCGGATTATTTAAAAAGAAAATAAAAAGAAAGAAGAAAAAAATGACTACTTTTGTACAAAAAAAATTGATACTTTCAACTTTTTTTCAAAATATTTTTTTGAAATTTTAATTTTGAGAAAAATTGATACTTTCTACTTTTCTTAAAAAAAATATTTCTTGAGAATTTATTTTTAAGAAAAATTGATACTTTCAACTTTTCTCCAAAAATATTTTTTGAAAAACTTTTAATTTCAAAGAAAATTGATACTTTCAACTTTTCCTCAAAAGTTTTTTTTTAAAAATTTTATCATTTTATTTTTTTTTTTTTTTTAAATTCACTCAAAAAGTAATATATAAAATGATAGGCAAAATAACAAAAAAAAATCAAAATAAATCACACCTCGACTCAGGACTTCACACATAAGAGACCGTTCGACTTGTGGTTCAAGCTCCATTTGATGATGTGGGCTAGCAGCTCGAGTGGCAATGGAACACAGGCCGGGTGAACAAAAACACGTAGGTCAATTGAATTTTTAGCAAACGAAACAACATCATTTCATGCAAAATATAAAAGCATAAAGATTTGCTGCTACCATTCAATTTTCAATTTCTGCCCCTTTTCTAAAGTTTTTAGAAATACACAGCTGCAAAGTCTCAAAGGTTTCCAGATTTTGGTTCCAGTGTCACCTCACGCCACCATCACTGGTCGTCGTCACTGACATCTGTTGACCGCCGCTCCCCGACCATCATCCAATTACCAGTTTGCTTTGAAACCTTCCGTCGAACTAGTCTTGGCCTTCTCTTTCACGTATTCTAGCTGAAACTTACAAAAAATCTTGGAATTGATGTAGATTCGAAATCAAAATCGCAGTCTCCCTTCTTCTCTACTGGTCTAATGCCGCTGCCTCTGGGTATGTTGTTCACATTTTCCTTGGTTGCCGTCTCACCAATTTTGAAGCTCCAAAACAAGCTAGATCGACCTTGATTAGGAATATTAAGGAGAAAGTCTTTCCTCTGTTTCCCTTTTTTTTTTATTACTTATGTGACTTTGAGTTTGGGTGTCCAACGCATCCATGGCTTTGCTGGGGCATTATTAATTGATGAAGAGGTGTTCACAACACTGCGACTTTCTATGGATGGAGAAATAAGCTGCTGATGCACTTGAGGTTTTTTAGCAGCTATGGTTGTGCATGGTTTTGCCACCTCATATGCCATTTTTGGTTCCAGATCCATAACATTGTTGTCAACAAGAAGCTTATTCCAATTAGAGGCCAAAGCCTCATCATTAGAGATAAGTCGGTGTGCCCATTCCTGCCAATCTTTCTCCTAAATCGACCTAAATCGTATCGTACATCTTGATGACCTATGATTCCCCCTAAGCTAAGTGAGCTTCTAAGTTGAGTCAACTAGTCCTAAGCCGTGCCATGTTCAATTGTCCTTTGTGCCTGCAGCCACACCTTTTTAGCCATCAAGTCAAGTCAGTCGTTTTTTGGTATATTTTCATTTTCATTTTTTTGATCATTTTATTATTATTTATTTATTTGTTTATTTTTCATTTATTTATATATTTATTTATTTATCTGTTTATTTGATCGTTTATTTATTTATTTATTTGATTATCTATGTATTTATTTATTTGTAAATATTTTTATAAAAAAATATTTTTCAAATAAAAATGAACCTTACCAATATATTAAAAGGTTCATAATTCAAAAAATGAATTTTTTAAATAAAAATGAACCTTACCAACATTTTAAAGGGTTCAAGTTTTCAAGAAATGAATTTTTCAATAGAATAAAAATCTTTACTAACATATTAGAAGGTTTGCAATATTATTTTCAAAATAAGATTTTACTAATATATTGAAAAACCTTATTGATTTTCAACAAAATTTAAATTTTAAAAGAGACAAAAAATAAAGCCTTACCAACGTATTGGAAGGCTTGTAAACTTATTTTTTCAAAATAAGGTTTTACTAACATATTAAAAAATTTTATGAATTTTTAACAAAATTATATTTTTAGATAAACAAAAAAAATAGTTTTTAAAAAATTTTACCAACATATTGGAAGTCTTGTAATTTTAGTAAAATAAGGTTTTACCAATATATTAGAAAACCTTATGATTTTCAATAAAAATTAAATCTTGAAAAAATAAAAATAATTTTTATAAAATCCTACCAATAAATTGAAAGAGAATTTTTTACAAAAATCTTACTAATATAGTAAAAGATATTTCTGAAAATAAAATGCTTTAATGAAAATCAATTTCAAACCTCCGATAATTGAATTACTAAAAGCATTGCAAATAATAAATATGTAAATTCTTAGGTGAGAAATTCTTTTAAATTTTACTAATATATTAGAGAATTTAGAAAAAAAATTTCAATACCAAGATTTCCTAAAATCCCATTATCACAAATAAAGTTTTTTTTTATAAAAATTAAATAAATCTAACGATAGAACCTCTTCAAAACATAATAAATAGTCTTATTAAATACTTTTGAGGTGAGAGAATGTCTTAAAATTATTATCAACATATTGGAGTAACTTTAAGATAATTTTCAATAACTAATTATTTGATAAAATTTTTAAATCTTCGAATAACACAAAACCAAACTAATACTATCCTTTACATGTATGTTGTAGAGGTTCTATAATTTTTCTTCTATGTAACCAAAATTTGGGATCTAATTTTGATTTCATATATTATAGCATATCTTTTAAAAATATCTGAGTCAAGCTTAAAAATTTTCTTTAAAATGAGACAAATTCAGTTAGGTGATCAATCATATCTAAATAAAAAATTTGCATTTGTATAAAAAATTGGTAATTTGAATTTGTATCCTAATATTTGCTTAATACTTTAATATAAAATTTAACAAAATTTAAAAAATATAGATTAATGCATATAAAATAATTAAATACTCTATTCGATTAATTTAATTGATAACAAAAATTTTTTTTTTTATTAAAAGTGTTCATGATCATGTTAAATCCCATTAAAACTTTTAATTGTTGTTCAAGACTAAGCTTTCTTTTTTCATAAAAACCCAATCATTATAAAATAAATATATAAAAATTTATTTTATTAATATTTTAAACTAAAATCTAAGATTAAATTTAAATAAAAATAAAAATTTTATTTAATAAAATAATAATTTAAATCGAATTAAATTCAAAATTTAAAATCCTTCTATAAGGTTAATCTAAATAAAACCCGACCAATGGGTCTAACGATAATATATGATTTATAGATAATTTTATTTTTTATTAATCAAAATTCAATTATTATAGATAATATTTTAAGAATAAAATTTGAAAATTATAACATTAATATGAGAAAATGTACTTCTAAAATCATAGAAAAAAATTAAAGATTTATAAACTTGAAAAATACCTTACCAATTTTATTATTAAGAAAAAAAAATCGTTTAAATTAAGTTTTTGGACAAAATTTAAATTGATCTTAATTAAAAACAAATAAAAGTACTATTAAAGAAAAATAAAATAATAAAAAAGAAAGAGTGATAACTAAATAAAAAGAAATGGAAGAAAAAAAGAATTTCGTGACCGTACAACAGTGGGCCAGCACCAAAAATAGTTAAAACCCACGGACAAAATGTAAAATCTATGCGGCCTAGAGAGCAGACAATAAAGATGGTTGCAGGTGTTTGAGCCAATCAAAATTCGACAACGCTTTTGACCAAACCATCCTTTGTTTTCCAATACCACCCCTTTCGACATCCAATCTGCTTTCCTTCACCAATGTGGTTTCCATTTTTTCTTTATATATTTCCACTGTAACATGTATATATATATATATATACACACGCACGCACAGACACGCTAGTTCCCTCACCCCACTCCACTCCCTCTCCCCCTTATGCTCTCCCACACCAGCATTTTTGTTGCCTTAGCCAGCAGCCAAAGAGATCATCAAGGGAACCATTTTTTTTTTTGGACAAAAGATAGCCTGAGAAAGTGATAGCAATCCCCTTCTTCTCTGTCTCTGAACCCAGTGTCAGTTTCCTGCTTCTGGGTGTTTTGAGTTTGTTGATTAAGATCGAAATTTTCAAGAAAAGAAAGGAAGGATAATATCAGCATGGGGAGGGGTAGGGTTCAGCTGAAGAGAATAGAGAACAAGATCAACAGGCAAGTGACTTTTTCAAAGAGAAGGTCGGGTTTGTTGAAGAAAGCCCATGAGATCTCTGTCCTTTGTGATGCTGAGGTTGCTGTGATTATCTTCTCAACAAAAGGGAAGCTCTTTGAATACTCTACCGATTCTTGGTACGATTGTTTTTCTTAATTTAAAACTGCTTTATCCTTTTTCATTCCATCTTTGTTTCTTTCCCTTAAGTCTTCATATTTCATAGTCTTTTCTAATTTCCTCTTTTTTCTTCGCATTTTTGAATTGCTAATAACAGCAATAAAGTGATTTGCTTTTACCTTTATTATGATTGATTCATCGAAAAAAAAAAAGAAATAAAACCAGCTGGTGAAGTCTTTGTATTGTAGTAATGAACAGTAAAGCACAGTAAAGAATGAACACATGGGCTGAGAGAAAGAAAAGAGTATTAGACGTGTAGGAAGAGATCTCATTGTGAATATGTTACGCTACAATCTTAATACTTCTATTAATGGTGAAGTCTAATCTTTGTTTGAACAAAGCTTCAAGAAATTCTAATTTAAGCAAAAAAAAAAAATTTCCAGTCAACTCTACTATAATTTTCTTGAGACTTTTACATTTTGGTTTACCAATAAAAAATTAGAGAAATTTCTTGTTTAGGAAAGCGAGCAGTTGGACAAAAATTGGTACATTTGACAAGACTAGTGATAGTTCTATCAGCTTTAGCTTCCACCAGGTGAGGTGCCGGGGGGGGGGGGGCGCTGAAGACGGCTATGCTCAACTTGACAGCTGCTTCCATGTAAACCAAGGCTTACATGAAATAGTATATGAAAAGGATTCTTTGATCGAACTGCGAAGCATGCATGTTTTCAACAGATAATAGTAATGGGTCAAGGGAAAGTTTGGGCTTGGGGGACCCTTGGGCTCTCTTTTGGGCATTAATTTATGGTCATTGACTTATAGATAATGTGTTTTCTTAGTAAAATAAGTACTTCAATTCCGGCCCTTTCAGATTTTTGGTCTCTCAAACATCTTAGGTTAGGATTGTTTCGATAAAAATGGCTTTTAAAAATTGATTTTTAAAGATTATTTATATTTCTTGAATTAAAAAAAAATTTATGTTATTTAAATGAATTAATAAAAAATATTTTTTATTATTTTGAAAATTTTATTTTTTAAATAATATTAATTATTATTAAAATATTAAAATTATTTATTATTAAAATATATGGGAATTATTTATTATTAAAATTATTAATATTAAAACAAATTATATTTTAATAATAATATTTAATATTAAATTATTATGTTAATATACAAAATATTTAAAATAAAACTACTTTTATTTTATATTATTTATTAATATATTGTAATATTATTTATTAATAGTATATTATTTATGAATATATTATAATATTATTTATTAATATATGATTTATTAATATAATATTGTTTATGAATATATCATAATATTACTTATACAATATTATTTATTAATGCATTATAATATAATATTATTTATTAATATAATATTTTTATAAATAAAATTATACTCGAAAATATTAATAAATTATTTTACTCATAGATAATTATTTTTTTTAAAATGTCTTTCTCTTTTCAAATTCATAAGACAATTTCTAAAAAAAAAGATCTCATTTTTTATTAATCAATAAATTATTTTTTGCTGATTAATAATTATTTTTTATTGATTAATCTGTCAAATAAATACTTAAAAATATAAAAATTATTTTTCACGAAATAGAAAAAGCCTTAATGTTTAGATGGAGAGGCTTAGATTGAAAAGGTTTGGATGGAGAGGCTTAGAGAGAAGCCAACTACTTTAATGATTCATACCCCAAATTAATTCATATTTTCATATGATGAGATGTTATCATAAGTTATCATAAGCTTCTTGGGTTTCGAGCAAGCTCAGGTTTTTCAAACTATCACCTCTAGTTGAAGTTTGAACAACTCCAAAGTCAAGATGAAGATATAAATAGTTAATATATTTCTTGGATATTGATGTTACCTCTTTGAGAGCTAAAAATTGAATTATTTTTATGATTAATTATAAAAAAATATTTTTGAGTAGCATCTAGTTTTTGTTACTTAAGTAAATGATTACTTAAATAATAAAACCATACTCTATTGATTTAATGTTTAAATAATAAAAATTTCGTATTTTGGAAATTGTTCATTCTGTCAACTTTTTCTATTATTTCTTTCTTTCTTGTTATATGTCATTTTCTATTTTAAAATAACTAAATATTCATTTAACTATGCTTCATCTTTTTTTTTTTTAATGAATCATGAGTATATATATATTATTCAAACAACAATTTTGTTTTAAACTTGCCTGCATGCAGCTTGTGTGTCGAGCCAATAAGCTGCTTAATTTACAATGCCATCGTGGCATCGGGTTGCTGGGTGATTTTCTTCTTTTTTTTTCCCCTTCCAAAAGATTAATTTTTTAAATAATTTTTTCCGTTATCTGTATTGTTTCCCAATTAGCAAATGGTTTCTTATGTTTTAATTCTTTAGTAATATCAGCATTAATTTTTTTGTAATTAAAACTGTCCAAAATTGAATTTTAATTACTTAAATTAAAAATTAAAATTTTTTAACATACATATAAGTATTAGAAGGTTTTATTCGGTCGATTCGGTTAATTTCGAATTAAATTATTTAAAATCAAATTAATCACATTATATTATATTATTTTATTAACTGAACTAAATTTATGAGTTTTGAAATTAACCAATTGAATTTAATTAAGTCGGTTATTCATTTTTTTGGTTAATCAAAAAATAAATACATTTAAAGTAAATTATATTAGAAACTCTTAATTTCTCATATCTTAAACAAACTAAATAAAAATTTTTAATAAAATATTCAAATATTATAATATTATATCAAAAACTCTTAACAAGTTATAAAATTAAGTGATCTATTTCAAATATTTTTCATACTCTATTTGGATTATGTTATAATTTGATTAAAATTTTGATTAATTTGATTAATTCAGTTTTCGAATTGAATTAATCGAAAATCAAAATTTTTTAAAAATCATTTTCGTTAATCGATCAAAATTAATTCAATGATCAATCGATTAACTAAATTAAATTGATTTAATTAATTTAATTTTGATTAAAATTGAATTATGAATATCGCTAATAATTATTGACAATATCAACACTACTAATGGTTAATATGTTGTACTTAATTTTCAAAGAGGAAGCAAGGTACTTTAGGGAACTAATAACCTAGTAGCTTGGCTTTGATCAATTTCTTTCTTATTTTTCTTTGAATAAATTGATATTTTTACTGTTAAAAAGAAAAAAAAGCAAAGAAAAGGTTCCTAATTGGATTATCTTGAGAATTGCAACTTTTTAGAGTAAATATTAACTTTTGACTATATATGCAGTTAGATTTATTTTGGTAAAAAAAATTATGAAAAATTCAAGGGGGCAAGCTTATATTGAGTTTGCATATAGGCTAATGCAAGTGGCACGAATAAAAGTTTGGGTAATCTGAGTTAAAGCTAGAAGAGTAATAGGGTAAAAGAAAAAGGGATTAGATACCTTCCATTGATCAAGAAGGCACCTAAACCTTTTTAAATTAACCTAGCAATCACGTTAATCGGCTCTCGTTAAGAGGATTTATTAATATTTTATTTGGATGACTTGTGAAAAAACTTTTCATCATACTATCATACCGTTTATCATTGATCTTTAATAATAATTTATGTAGTTTGCAATTCACTTTGCCTAGTTTATACTACAGTTCATATGCATTTTAGTCTGCTAGCATGTGAATCTAGTAACATCACTAGTATAAAAAGTCACATGCTGGCATCTAATGTCCTTGACACTCCTAAGCTTCTTCAGTATCATATGTTTTCTTTAATTAGTTTAAGTAGTTACAGGATTCTTATAATTGTCCTTGGACGATTTTAAGGGCTTTTGCCTTAAGAAGCTACCGTTCATCCTTGTTTGACTGGTAGTGGACGTCCGCCAAAATATAGCTCGATGTCTTACACTTAACAGAGATTTGATTTGCTTGCTTTTAATCAGAGGAAAGCCACGTCAACTCTTGAAAAATTTTAGAATCATGAACTTGTTTTTACCGACAATAATCGCACACTGGTCTTGTCACCAGTGAGACCCTGAAAGCTAAAGTTGAGTCCATGAATGGTGAAATTAGGGCAGCTGCCCGTTTCATGTAATCAGCTAATATATATATATATTTTGGCTCAGCCACATTCAGCTAGGATTTATTCTTTGTTAAACAAAGCAGTTGGAAAATTTGCTCAAAGCTCTAACCTGTTAGCTACCTGTTTTTCAAAATGCATTGAAAAAATCATGTACGGATTAGTTATTTAAATCTCTAGATATGATTTCTCAATGAGACCTGATAAAGAACTCAAGAACTGTGGCTTTTTGTTTCTATTGTTAGTTGTTTTGAATGTTATATGGGTATGATATTCCACATTGATGGAAAGACTTATTATAAGAGCTATAAAAAAGACAACAAAATTCTTTGGTAGTTTGGTTAAGTGATATAATAACTTTATCACTCTATTTAAATAAATTCTTATAATTTAATTTATACTCAAATAAATTTTTATATTTTATTTTATATCCAAATAAATTTTTAATATTTAATTCACACTTAAATAAATCCTTAATATAAATCATTTTTTTAAATAAAAGCATATTTGGATACAAATAAAAGGATAAATGTTTATTTAGACACAATAAAAATATAAAAATTTATTTAAAAAATGGAATAGTTTAGAGTTTTTTTTAAAAATATTTTAAGTAATTTTAAAGTAAAAGATGGACATTTGGCATTTAATTTTTTGCTAGGTGAATATATTTAATTTTTTGTATTACATCTTTTATTTATTTTTAAATATTAATTTTATTTATATTTTGAATAATTGTGTTTTAAAAAATAATTACATAACAAAAGCGTTATAACTATATGAATAAAATGTCATGACTATTTGTCATTTATAAAAGATTTTTATATATAATTTTTTCACTACTTTGATTTAAAAAATTTTGAGTTTTATGGTATCTTAGAAGAATAATTACTCTCAAAAAAGTGTTTCACCCTTAAAAATCAAATGCGACTCTGTCCTTATTGTCATAGATGG